TTGGTTCGCCTTTATGAATATTGAATAGAAGTTGTTGTTTACTTGACCTGTCTGCGTCGTTAATTAATGGTGTGAATGTCTCCTTGATTATAATATTCGATGTACGTCGTTACCTCGGTTTACCACTGGACTGTCGAATTGTCTCGACCGGAGTAAGAGATCCCTGGTTGTTATTGTAGAGATACCAGTTAGTTGCCCTTCATATAAATTTTCCTTATCTGTCCACCTGTGATTTGAGCTAATCTAGTTTTAGGCAACTTATGGGTGTGACACATGCGTACGTGACGACTTCCGCGTTTTAAAAACAACGTCATTCACCAATAACCTTCTTGGAAAACGATTTCAAATCTCATCGACAGCATCTTATTTCTAAGTACAAAGCGAGCGTTTGCACTAACATGAACACCAAGTGTCAGGTAAAGCATTAACGGTTGACAAAGCAGTTGTAATTCCATTTCTAACACGTAGTCGTGAATGGCGCATACTTCACGTTGTCTTGTCAGCGTTATAACGAAGTTCCGATAAATGCTGACCTTTCAGCATTTACCGCCAATCCCGCCATTCTTTCTGTGTTTCCTTCACATATTTTCTCACCATCTCCAATTACCTGCACAGTCCACGACTCATCTTACCTAATTTAATGTATCTGCAATACGTCACTCGAGGCTTGGACGAGAATCTCAATAGCATTTACGTGCGCCCAGACAAAATGAAGATTGGGTGACTGTGTTACGAAAAATGAATAACAGCAGCAGCTTATTTTTCAGTTGTGTATAGCACTTGTAAAATCACATCATGAATACGATCCGAAGCTTTTAATCTCCTGAAAGCTCTGATTATTCTAAATGCCTCTTTATTTCGCGCAGTATAAACTAATGATCAAAGCTGGTGAATTGTGAGGTGGGCATTATGACGACAAGCCCATATTAATACACTACATAGCGCTGTTAATGCGCGTCGATGTAATCTGTATAATGACGCCCGGTTTATTTATACTAAACCGTGCCGCTCTTCAGAGGTTTCATCAAAATTCTTTGATTTATTTCCGATGTTATTTTAATAAAATGGGTTTAATCTCTCTTACGGAAAAGGTCTTACAAAATATAAGTATCATTTTTTTTGGAAAATTGACGTAAGTGATCAGAAGGCAGAGCAACGCATACGGTAACGTGATATGTTTCCTCGGCTAATGATGTTGATGTCTTGTTGATATTAGTAATTGCTCAAACTGGATGACGAAACTGATATTACTGTCGTAATCACGTACACAGCGTCAGTGTTATTCAATTTCAAGCGTGGCGTATGCCTAAAAAAAACAGCGCAACGCAATACATTGCAACACAACGCAATTTTCGCAATGAAATCCAACACAACACAACAGATCTAGAACAGAACGCAAAGCAAGGCGACCCTATAGAATCCAACGCAAAACAAGGCAACTCACGGCATCCAGTGGCGGACGTGGCGGATCTAGAGGGGGGGGGTTTCTTGGGGTCCCGTTGAAAAATGTATTCAATCATTAACTTTGTCTGGCGATTTTAAAGTTTGGACCCCCCTCCCATAAAAAAAAAAAAAACCTGTATCCGCCCCAGTCATCGAACTATAAAACAATTGACACATTCGAAGAACAGCAGCGCAGTGTAGAGCAGCATAACATATCACAGCGCGCTAGCAACGAAATGCAACACACCGTCATACTTCAAAACAATTGATTTAGCTACATTTGAATGTCCCCCACTGGGTATGCAGTGTTCTGGTCTGTCTGATCCTTGTATGCGTCGTTGACTAGTCTAATAACGTTATTAATAGATTTCATATTACATGTTTATTTGCATGTACAGAGGAACTCAGTTTGATAGCTATAATTGGTATAGTGCTGGCCTGCCTTGTGATCATCGTCATCGTCATTGCTCTGTTGATATACAGGTATGTAAATAGCACCTTGTGGACTGATGAGTTAAATCGAGGGTCGGCAAAGGGTATTTTCGTAAGCAGTAATCACTTGTTTTTATATATTCGTAATAACGTAATTTAAATAAATAAAAAACGTATATTCGTAGACATGGACAAGGTGTAAAATGTAATCAGCTATTTTACTCGTCCTTAATTTGTACAAAAATCTTATTTGTTGTAAGCATATAAAGCATTTTCAACTTTCGCTTTATTTTCGAATTCGCTTCACCTGTAAAGTGTAAAAAATGGAAATGGAACTTTCCTTTTTTTATTTCCTGTAAAAACGTAAATTACATTACATCGCTCCCCCTTTAAGTCGCCAGGGGACACAGACACGGGCTACACAGTATAATAGGTGCCACAGTCGCCGATGCGCTATTAATGTGTCGCATGTGACCCACGCGTACGCGCCGCGGCGCGACGGCTTGGGCGCTTTATACGCTGTCCGTCTTTTTGGTTAAGCAGTTTTATATGCGTCATTTTGTTCCTACAGTAATTGAATTCTGTTGATTTATTACGTTTTATAAAATGTTACCGCATAAGATGTATGTTGATCACGTCAAACCAGGTAATTATGATACAAGCCCTTCGGTCGATTTCCTTTCAGTAATAAACGCGCAAGTGTGCATCGCGTTTACTGTACTACTATATTTTTGGATAACCATTCGGAGATGCGCTAGGTGGTAATTTATTTTCTTGTTTAAATGAAACGATACAATGTTTTTTTATTAAACCGAAAGCCATATAATACAAAATACCCTACGATATCAAATTAATTTTTCTGGGGTTTCATTGTAATATAATTATTGTCGTTAATTAGAAAAGTGTGATTTGTTCGGAGAAGGAGTCATTTGAGTTAGCCTCGTAATTACCGTGCATGGAGTATCCTCATAGTGGCGTTCGAAATAAATCAATTTATGACCACAACGTGCCTGAACATCATTCGATGTATTTATTGTTATTTAAATTTGTGTATTTCTCAATTTATATAATTTACTAAAGGAAGATTCAGCAATAACTGGTTGTACTATTTCGAACCTCGATCTATGTGAAATTGGTACGATGGTTTTCTAGTTAACCACATTTACGCTTCCGAAATATCAGATGAATACACGTGAGAAATTTGCATAAAACTATCTGTGATTGGCCAGTTCATTATTGTGTTTATTTCTCTCCCATTCTAGTCTTTCTGAATGTTTTTCCTGGCAGCAATCCACCGCGAATATCAAGTTATGGTTCATACTATTACGTAAATATAAGCGGCACACCATTTCATTAGAACTATAATGGCGTTGTACATTATGCATAACAAAAACAGACTCTATTATTTAATTCATGAAAATCCCATATAACAATCTTGAATATGGGAAGTCTTGAAACCGAACACCTAGTGTGTGGTGTGTAACATATGAAGTAAAGTTAGCTAGCAGTACACACATTAAGTGGTGTGAATTGCTTCTAGTTTATATTGAGTTGTCTTCGGGGGGGTCGTCTTTTTTTTAAAACACATCTCACACCGAATAGTTAAGAAAACGCGTTAAGGTAAAAGGGATATATTGTTCGCTCTATTATGTACACGAACATTTACTTATCTTACTAGTACATTCGCCAGTACGTCTCGCATCTGGAACGTGTTAAAGAGTTCAAACCCCCAGCCCGGTTCCTCACTCAGCGGTGTCAATTAGATAACTAAACACGCGGTATTTAGAGAATGGTCTGTCCTCAGTGTAATCAGAAAACACGCTATCAGGCTTGTCGAAAGAGTAGCGCATTTCCGTGGCATGATAGGTTCTTCTCTGTCATGTAAGCTCGTCGCATACAAGGTCAACTTCAGGTTCCCATCTCAGTAACAAGAGCGCAGCTTGTTAATCAGGGTATCGCATACAATTATCGAAATTACACAGTCGAGTTCGTCTACACTGGGAGACCACACACAGTCGGGAAAGTTCATTTTTTTGTAAATTATTATACTTCAAAGAATACGTTTGCGTTGCGTAACGAATGGAGTCTGGTGATAGAACTAGCGGGAAACTCACTATCTGACTGTTGTCACAGTCCCTCTATATAGGGACTGTGCTGTTGTATTATTGACTACGGTATGTTTATTTCATTGCCAAGGAAATATACACGCATCGATGTATGGTTAATGTATATTATTCGATCTGCGAAACAACATAACTATATATAAATAACAATTTCATATAACAAGTTATATTGGTTTTTCTTTAGGAATTGTAAATGCGATAAATATAGTTATTGATTCGATAAAGCGCCAACACAACTGATAACATCAGTCTATCACGAGGTAGCGACAATTATTGGCAATTCCTATCAACAGAAATATCATAAAAAAAAATAATATTTTTTTTTCTGCATCAGGAGCATACGTCTATCTCTCTATCTTGTTTTTTTTTTGTGTTTTTTTGTTCCCAACCAGGAAGTACAAACTGGAAGCCGAGTTAGCCAAAATGACGTGGAAAGTGGCATGGGAAGATATCTCATTCAGCAAAACGGATCGTAGCCGCGTTATGTCGACTGCAGCTGTCAACGCTGCCTTCAGCAAGTCGCATGGTTCCAGGGTAGGCACGACATTTGACATTTCCGGTTCAGGTGACAGTTCCATGTTAGCTGGGTGTATTTGTTTTTTTTTTTTGTTTTTTGTTTAGATGCATTACGCAAACACGTAATGTCCACAGGCCGGATACTTTGCTAGTACCAGCTGTTCAATGATGTCATTGATAATTCAATAATGATTCAGAAAGACGAATAGCATCAGCATATGGCTTGTCTAATCCACAATGCATCGCGAGAACGTGGTAAAAATCTTATATTATGAATCCAGCTTCCGTAAACTTTTTTTCTTCAAACGCATACTTTATTTATGGTAAAATTTCATTGTGTACAGTGTCGTGATATATATTAATTTTTAGGACGATCTTACTGATTATCTTTAAGACTAGCTACGAACGAGGCGACAGATTGCATGACGTACACGGGCAAAACTACCACGTGACACTGGTGCCCATAAGTCGTATATTACATTGTATCATTTCTTTATTACAGAAAAGCAGTACTAGGTGCTCATCTTTTGGAACATGTGATTTTGACCGTCAAATATTTACTCGAGTTGCGCAATATAAGGTAGAGTCAAAGAGATATAATTGAGAATACTTTTAGTAAAAAAAAAAAAAATCGCTATCGGAATGTCATCCGTGTCTCCCAGACTGTTAATAAATGGAGCATGACCGCAGAGCTTTCCTATCAACACACACGCACGAATTACTCGTGCGGTCGAACGTAAACGCTCGTGCAATTACGGCCCAGGAAGTCCATAACCAAAACAGACACGCTTTTGCTGTTTCTGAGTGAGTTGTATTTCATATATTGTATTTTCTTTGTCACTAGGGTAATGTAATTGCCATTAAGAAAGTCAATAAGAAAAAGGTCGAGCTCACACGGGATGTGCTACTGGAGTTAAAATACGTAAGTGTTATATATATTTCAAGACACTATTGTGGTTTACTATACACTTTAAGTGCTGTGTATTATGTATATAGTTAGAAAACATACTTAACTAGTTTTGTTATAATATGTATAATTTCCAACTTTATGTTATGTTTCCGCGTCGAATGTGTTAGTGCTTGGACGAAAGTAATTTCAGTTTTTAAACGCGCACTATGGACATGTTTTATTATCAACAACGATGATATCTAACCATCAATGTGTCTCGTTTCGTCCTTGAAATGTTTACTATTTGCTTCTGTAGATGCGAGACTTGGAACATAACCACATCGTTCGATTTGTTGGCGCATGCGTGGATCCACCGCATATTGCAATGTTAACAGAATACTGTCCGAAAGGTAGTTTACAGGTAAGTAGTACAACCTATGACATATTGCGATAGTTTCTTGCACGTTCTAACTGTACATGTTTAGACGCTTATCATAGTCGCGCGCCGAAATTTTGTGAGTTGCTGTGTCCGTCGCAACCATGATTGCAACCTTGCGCTGTAATTCTATGTACCAAGAAGCTGTGAAGCGCTAGACATTTAAGAAAGCACTGCCATCAGTGCAAGACACGGCGTAAAACAGAAAGACAGAACAGATAACGTGTATATTAAGCGCGTCTTGCCGCGTACATGCAATGTACACGCTATCCTGTCCTCGATTGTATAATGTTTCGATTTGTTTGTATACAAGAGACGGTGATTGTGCGCCTAATAAACTAACTTCGAACGAGGCTATAAATTACTGACGTAACCGGTCTGGATATCGATGTAACGCACATCGAACACGTAATAATGCAAATGGTAACATGTTCTTGGCGTCGTTTGCGTAATTGTGCAATTTTTTTCTCTTGTTTTTTTTTAAACTAATATTTTTTCTCGATTTCAATGAGTACGTCTGGGCCTACTTAACCCAAAAAAACCGCAATGGTTGTATATCGTCAAACGAGGCTTGCATAATTAAAACACATTCTCACCCAACCGAAGCGTATTCAGGCAACTGAAATACTGCTGTAATCATAATATATTTGTTTGCGCGAAATTCAGTCGCGCACTGCGTGACGACTGCGTCAATTTCCGTGAGGACCTTAATCTTCGTGATCAGCAGTCTACTCGCACTGATTACTCTGATACTTAGTACTGGCTATTAGATTTGCACTCTGATAATGTGCAAAAATACGCCTCACTCCGAAAACAATAAATGCATTTATAAAGATACGAAATTAACACACATGCATGATATGGTTGTATCACATTACAAAGCACACCCGTGTCGGTACCGTAACAAAATTGGCTTGCGGATTCCGAGTATTGTCATAGATATATAACTGTTCCATTATGACAGTCATGGAATGTAAATTTATAGTCACATAGGCAGGATTGGTCATGGAGTCGAGGCTCCTTTAATTGGGTTATTGCGATTTGCAGCCCCGGGGTTTCATGGGAGGTTAAAACCACGGAATACTGACGTGGGATTCCCTGCGATACAAACGCCAGATGTGCGGCGGCAGTCGGTCGGGTTTCCCATTTTTAATTGACATTTGGAGCCACGTTGGATTCCTTCGAGTATTCCAATCGACTGAAAACGTAACCCGCACTACAAGGTTACCTCCTTCAATATACTTCAGCGGTTAAAATTAAAGGCGCACGATTCTTTATAATATTCGTACAATGAATTCCGAATATTTATACTCAAAATTATGCCCTGGACTGAAATAGTTCCTATGGAAACTGAAATCAACTCTAGTAGCAATTAGTGCTTGGAAGCTTAGTTTTGACCAAATTTCAATCAAGCAAATTTTGGTCAAAATGATTACGTGAACATGTGAGCTTCATGCAGTCCTAGACGGATCAAGCAAAATGTCCATCTTGAGATTTCAACCCTGATTATCGAAATTCGCCTAGATACTAAACAAAAAAACATGTATCTGATGTAATCTTTTCTATATCAGATTGTCACGATGTTGCAATTTGCAATGAATGTAAGATGCGAATCACTCCCATGGAGTGTTTCTGTCATTTCGTTCTATCGTACATGCGAGCTACAAGGTGATACAGAACATAGGTTAATCTCACACGAGTTTTCCCAATCTAATTAGAAACAAAACAACGTGTTAACTCACCCACCTAACGAACTGTGCTGTTCTAGACTTAACACGGGGCCACCGCTTGATGTAGCATTTGGGAATTACTCTTATAATAACGTTGAAAAAAAAAGTTGAGCGTGTCAGAAAATGACTTTTATAAATATACACGTTAAAGTTAAGTCATTCACCCTATCTGGTCCATAAAACGTGTTTTGTTTCAAAGATGAACAATGTGCAATGGTTATCCCACAAAGAGACTGAATTCTATTCTCGGTAATACACCGAAGGGATAAGTTCATTCCACTCTCTAAATAAAGCTAAACGATCCCCAGTAAGTAGAAATATGCAAGTGTTTTCATAATTTGATGAAAGTGATCAATTGGTGATCATAGTGCACACATAGAAATTAATCTGACGTATCCGACCTTGCTCATGATCAAAGTCTACAATGCTTATTGCAATCGTGTGTAATAAAAGTCATCATTAATGTACCATGCACTGAGATCACTGTTATTATAATGTTCAGTATGTCAACTGGTATGCGTATATTCAACAGGGATATTGTACTGTGTACTGTCCCTATTCAGGCATACTATAAATACGAAAAAAAAAGTAGTATCGGCGATACCCCTCCTGAAAAGATTAGCTCAGTTGTGATTTGTGGAACTGGGTGAGTCACTTTTTTACCCTGAGGGTCACGAAGGAAAAAAAATCTCTTGTGATTAATATTCCTTTTTTTTCTACTCATCTTCTCACGTTTCTTTTCATCTTCTTTTTTTCCAACACCTGTAGGATATTCTGCAGAATGATGCAATTAAGATGGATTGGGTGTTTCGCTACTCTCTCATGCATGATATCATCAAGGTATTTACACATTTTACTTCTGAATCAACACTCCGAAGCCGTGCAATGGACTTCGGTGACCGTTTCACCCTTGTAGATATACCCAATTAAAAAAACATTCTCGTATGCACGGCGGCGTTCCACGCATGCATCTCTTTTTTAGAAGCCGACGTTGTTGAAACTCAATTTTCCGAAGAAAAAAAAATGATTTCGAGAAAGAGCCTAGAGTAAGAAAGATACGTCTTCAAACAATGCGCTTGCGTTAGGTTGTCTTATTGACCTAGAGTTACATTGTATACCTTGGAAATTTCAATCATTGGTATGGAGTGTAAGCGAAATTTTTCACTGTACACATCAGTAGTGCCGAGAATAGACGCGAATTGGAATGCATAATCCAATATTAGAAGTTCATTATCGAAGAGACATGAACCTTATTTGCCTGATTTACTACATCACAATTCCCGTGATTGAGACGTCTTCGGTACATGTTGAACTTGTGACCGGTGATATTCTACGCTAATAAATGAATGTATTGTTAATATAAATGCGAATTTACCTGAAATATGTTAAGTTTTGATAATAAAATTGCATAAGCGTGTATGTGACACACTATGCAAATCAGTATGATATCAGAAATGTGTTATGAATTAAGGGTAATTATTAATTTTAGGCAGTGATGTGTTTGTATTCGAATACTTCTTCCAATTTACCTGTTCACTAATGTGTAACTGTTTGGCAACTGGCGAAGATGCCATGATCGGTTGATCGAATTTAGACTCATTAGCGGCACACAGGTTGACACAATTGAGTTGTATATTCTCCCTTTGCGGTTTTGTTTATCGTATATTATTTGAGTTATTCTAAATATCACCTGCCAATTTCCGTATAAATTAGATTCTCCAATTCTTTTGGTTCTTGAAAACTGAACAGAGCAAACTACAACATCACATTTGGAACCTTATATTTGTTATAACTTTATATCAGCTTTCACACAGACATCCCATCAGTTGTACTGTACAAAGCGCACATCGGTGTACGGAGTTATTTTGTTTCAAAATTAAAATAATTTACAGAACGTTACCAGCAGCTATGGTCAACAACATCGCATTGTTAGTTTTGCCACAGTAACACAGTTACCTACTGTTAAGTGTTTCTCAAACTTTGACCAAGAACACAAATCTATGTGTGTCGATCACAGTTCATGTTCTATCCACACATATAGCAGGGCATCTAGTTCCAAAGTAAGTAACGACGTATATTCCATAGTAAATATAGATCATAAAACTATGGATGCCAAATAGGTTATTACACGTGAAATCAAGTCTTTTACCTGTGCTCTTGGCGTTTTGACTCATTCCGACACAATTCAAAACGTAATCAATCAATCGATCAATCAATTAATCAATCAATCAATAACGCGATATCACGGGAACTGATGTATAATATAATTATCCTCAAATTTGTGCATGGTTTTAAACATGTACTATTGTTGTTTACTCCGCAACAAAACAAACTTTAAACTGATAACAATTATATCTTAAGTAATGATTTGATGTTCTTTGAATGCACTCAATAATAAATAGGATATATGAATTGGTAATTGACAAGTATATTATAAACGCTTCATTTCACGAATCGTTCAAAAATTCAGATATCCACCGACTACACTGCACATGTGTGCACATTATAAAGTCTATCAATCAACATCGAAACATAAGCCCACCACATGCATCACTGATACAGACAAATTACATCACCTATTATATGTAAATACTGCGTCGTTATAGCAACCGAAAAAAAAAACGTCTTTGCTAAAAATTATGAGCAATTATTCACCGAAGCAGGTGTGTCTGTTGGGCATTATCTGCAATATTTAAATTTGGATAAGTGTGGTATGTATTAACACCTAAGATGTTTGTCACGTATCTTGTTAGTTTGTCTGTATTCTCATACTACTTTCTGAATATATAGTGTGTTTTTTTTTTGTTTCTGTTCACCGCACGCACGCCCACTCAGAAAGCAATATTCCGTGATAAATCATTCCACTAGACGAATCCTACTATCTAATGTACATTTCTCTTAAATTATCTTGAAAGTCAGCACTGTCGCGTTATCGCTTGAAATCTCGCGTTGCTTTCGGTTGTAATCTACCATGCTTTACTGATCAGGATTATAGCCGTAATACACAATTTGGCAGTCAGTACTTACATGTCCCCCGGCCCAAGTAAAGCAGTCTGCAATATTACTATGAACAGACAGATACGTCTAAGTAATGTGTTGTTACTTGAGGTGCCTTAACTCTCTAATTAAAATTACCTACTCTAAAACGAATATTTATTGAAATAATTGCACTAAAATTGGAAGAAAAATACTTAATTTCGAACGTCATTGCGAACGCAATAACGTACCGATGTCCGTCGGTACTGGACATCGCGTTACGTCATGGTGGTAAGATGTCCCGAATTAAGTTTCTAGCGTTTCATTGATGCAAAAGATGCCGCTAAAAAATTGCTTTGATTTGACCATTACAAAAACATACCTGTAATCCATATTAGCCTCGATTTCAGATTCAAACAACAGCCAATCAAAATTCACGTCACGTATACCCCCAGCATGCTGGAGACTGGCGTCATTTTTTTTTTATAAAACCTGAATGTCAAAGAAGTCGACCACTGAATTGACATATTTATTCTTAACAAACAAAAAGCGAATAACCACATAGGCCGTTTATATCATCTAACTAAGTAATATATAACTGAAAATCTAATACAATTTCTTTGGATACATCGATTCAATTTGTAGTAAACGAATTTACAATTTTCTAAATATAACATATAATGTTAATTGCATTTTAATTAAGCGTTTGTGGATATGTTTTGTGGATAATTACTTAACCCATCGTGTTGACAGACCTCTCCAAAGAAATTGACACAATGAATCTCATTTCATGTTTTATAATATTATCTATAATAGACATAAAACGTATTTCAGCAATATGCATTTTAGAGTGACTAATAACTAAAAAGAATAGATGCTTATAATACCAAACAACGGTAAATGTATCCACGAACTGGGCGCAATTCAATTGGCTTGGCATCGATTAAGTTTTGAATAATTCAAATTTAATTCCGTCCAGAAAATATGTATGACACCTCGAAGCAAGATAGCGAAATAAAATCGCTTCGCTATGATATAGTCTGACTATTTATTATTAATAATGTCAGATCCCAAGATAAAGTGAGTAGTGAATGAGTCTCGATATTCACGTCTGCCATCTCAGTCTCCATTTCGCAAACAGAAATTGCCACAAGATAGTGATGATCAGTAGTGGTCATGCATTGAATTATATGAAGTGAGAATGACTGAATTAATGAATATGTATGATGTAAAAATGTTTTGATAATGTCATGTTGAATCGTAGTTTTGGAAATTTATATCATAGTAAAATTTGTATTTGACACGATTTGTTGTATGTGCGCCATTATTGGGCAGGATATTATTCAGTTTTGCGTATTTTCAAAGATAAATACGATACATTTGTAAAGTACTTATTTTCATGGTAGACTTTAAGGTAAAGGTGTCATAATTAATTATTTTGATTTAGTGAGACGTGTTTTATAGGTAAATACAAAAAGGATGCGAAATGTCCTGCTTGTAATCTGCCGTGGTAATTTGGCCGCGGCCATCTTTGATTTCGACCAAACAAAACTAGAGTCTAAAATCAAAATCTTTGAGCTCGTGTGCGAAGTCCACTGCTAATAAACTGGAGTATATGTTGCCGCCAATCCTTTGGCTAAACAAAAAATTGAATCAGTGATATCATGGATGCATGGAAGACTGTGGTTAGAGGCATTTTTTTTTTACAATGACATCTTTTGTGCATTGATTTTAAAGATATGTTTCATCGGTGATTGGCGCCAAATGCGCCACTAACTCAACTACTAGATATCGGACACGCGTATAGCACCTACTGAAGGCCATACATGCGTATTTTTTTCATAAAATACTTTTTTCAATTTTATTTTCCAAATGAGAAAATTTGTTACGATGTGCGAAATTGGCTCAGTAAATGGAACTCTTCCATTAATGTCGATGTAAACAGATACTCCCAAATGGAGTCATCAGACCAAATCATCTCATCTTGTTTTTTTTGTGTGTGTGTTTTTTTACACATGATTAAGATAAAGTCAAATTCGAAGTAGGTCAGGGTTGCGTAAACGTAAATACTTCTGTAAACACCCATTCAAGTGCTGCAGTTAGTACACCACGTCAGTCTACGGCGATTTACAACCAAAATAGATAATGCTTATCTTCTTTGATTTTAATTTTCAGGGACTTCACTTTCTGTACCACAGCAGCGCTATCAAAGTGCACGGTAACCTAAAGTCGTCAAACTGTGTCGTGGACAGTCGGTTTGTGGTGAAACTCACGGACTTCGGGCTGCACAAATTCAAGGAAGATAGTAAAGAAATCGAAAACTCACATGCTTACTATCAAAGTAAGTTAATTATACACGTCGGGTGTAAGGTCAAGCCTCGTAATAACCCAGGGGCATGTAAGTGACGAAGGGTAATTGCTGTTGGAGTGGTTCGAGTTGATAAATTAAAATTAATCTATACCAAGGCAAATACAAGGCACGCAGCATCTAATGCGACTTTTACCTTCGATTTCAAACGCAGTAGAGATAGTTTCACGTCGTCGACGTCATTTTGGCGGTCGGGCAGCGGTTAGTGCTCAGGGGCCTGACGATCTATTCGTCTCAATGCGTGGACGTCTATGGGTCGAGCGACTATGTCCCGGTACAGGGCCTTGCCCTTGCTCATGAAAATTATGCAATTAAAACTGTTTAGTAATGTAAAGCAAGCATATGTTATTAAATTTAATCATCACGCTCCGAAACCACAAAAATCACTAATACAAGACAAGGGAGGAAAAAAAATGTGCACACGTTTTTCTAGCTGCCGAAAATCATACCTCAAAATGCAAAATACCTTGTCCAAACCAGTTACGAGTGTTTGTTAGTGGGCCTTATTTTTAGTTATTCCTGGACGCGGTACTAGGCGTGCCGCTCATGAGTGGATATTTAAACTTGCGAAACGAGGATGTTTTACCTACCTACCAAAGATCAGTGATCTTAACATGTGTTTAAATACAGTTATCTTTGGTTTGTTGTGTTTCTATAGGAATCCGATTAGTGATTTCGATCAATACAATACTTCCAATTTTGTCAACATGCTTTGGGATCTATTTCATATGTTTTACGGAACTTCAAAGAATGAGTTAAGAAGCAGATTACTGAAATGTGCCCAATCCAAAGTGTTAAGCCGCAACATTTTAAATCAATTTGTTATCACGCGCATATTTACCATATCAGGAAATTCAGATATCAAATGATGACGTAATAATCCCAAAATGGCGGATGTGATTTTAGGGGCCGTGCAATAGATTAGGTTCCATTAATTCTCAACAACCTGGTTCGTCAGACCTAGACAAACGGCTGGATCGAGATGTTATACATAGATTACTATTAACTTGTTAGGACTCCACAAAATGCACACGGGCTTTGTGAGATCGCATCGAACTCCACTGTCTTAGTAATATCTTAATGTATAATTACGCTAACACCATCGCGTCTGCCTTCACATGCACTAACCAAGATATCGCGTTGAACAGAAAACGTTACCTCTATTCTAAGCATACCAGCTCATGAAAATATAGTTTAAACCAAACACTCGGTCTGTAAGTACGTCTTTGGTAGTGGGCTGTGGAATTTGAAAAAACATCATATATTGCTGGCGTATTCGTGCTATTTGGAAATTCAACATCGCATGGTGCCCGCAGCTACCATGTATCTCGTTCGTTTCTAGGAATCACATGCATAAACAGAAATATACGGCAATCCCACCCACGGGGCTTGACGCGTTCATAGTTAAACCTCAGTCACGTTCAACTAAATTTGAAATCACTTTCCTGGTTTGACAAATTGGCTAGTTTTCTTGAGTGTTTTTTTTTTATCAAGTAGAAAAAAACGTATATTGCATGAAACATGAATCTATGCACTACGTGAAAATCCTTTGAATTTTGTTTAAAATTCTATGTTGCATGTAGATTAGAAAACCCCTGAAACAGTTTTTGTTTTACATCACTAAAATTGTGAAGGATGTCTAAACGGGTGCTTGATAAAATAAGATCTTTTTCTTTCATTTAAAGGGCGGTGGTCGTCGCGTCGTGTTGTGTTCGATGTAGGACTCAAAGCGGGCGTATACGGCGCGTGTAATATAGATTGTTTGTTTACGTGAAATGCGAACACGCGCTGCGTGACGACCACCGCCATTTAACCTGCATCTTAGTGAGTACCACGAATCTGATGTGATGTATTTTGTCATTTATTAAATTTCTGTAGATATCCTGGCATTAATCGAACCCGAAACTATCAACATACACACTGATTTCCTCGTACTTAAATGCCGGGTTTTTTCCCAAAACACTTTTTTTCTTTTTCAAATGCTCAATACTCGTAGCCAATTATTGGTCGAGCCACCTTAAATACCTTATTTCAAAATGAATTTATTGTTAAATTTAAATTTATTGAATTGATATATATGGCAGACCAACATAGGTTACACGTCTAGTCAGTATGTCAATCAGCCATTTAATATCCAAGCCTTGCGTGACCCCAGGTCACTTATTCAAGTTTCTCCATAAATGCTTGAAGATTGTTTATAAATGTTCATATAGAACATACGAATATATATTGTATGCCATAATCTTTTCAAACTAGAAGTATTTTATTATTTTTAACTGTGGATTACATTTATATTGCGGGTTTGTAGCCATATCATCGAAATCATTTACGATTTTCAGCAAATTTCCCTGGCTAAAGTAATGAGTTGTTAGCTATTTAGATAACTGTTAATTTTGTTTCACCGCTCATGGACATGAAACCCTTTGTTCTTGCAGTGTGTTTATTTCATTTATTTCACACTTGGTCTTGTGTCTCTATGTCGATTTAGTTATTTGCATGCTGAGTAGTAACCACAGTTTCGGTTCGTGCGCATGTAGATTGTAATTTTCAAACATTTCCAGTGTCTATGACCTTGACTTAAAAGTGTCAGAATTTTAAAGGTGGGGGAGAGTTCTTTCTCAATTATTGAACAAGTTGGCCGATTAAGTTCGAACCATGACTTTCGTATCAGCAGTCGGTAAATATAACCGCTATTCTATGAGGTACTTCGTTGGAATGGCTCATGGAATGGCTATACAGATGTAAAAATCTGCAGAATAAATTTGTCACCAGGTTATAGGCTAGTCAATGCAATGAATAGAGACTTTTGTGTTTATGAAAAAAAAAGAAAAACGGTCGTCCCATGATATTAACTTATACGTTTTACAAAACAGGATACACGTGAATGTGCAAATTAAATCGATTTACTTCATTTGCGAGGGCAACTTTAACCGGATTACTCACTCGGAGAGGCTCAATATCCCTCATCCGACAACTTAATTTGCCTATTAGCACTCAATTGTTTAAAGGGGTGTCGTCACTAGCCACTTGGTTTTGAAGGTCTGAAACGTTCGCATCTTTGTATTCAAATTTCTCGTTTACTATTGGATGATATTATATGGTTTTGTGATCTTAATTAGAACGACCCTCCATCAATACGAATCAACTTTTTTATTTTTATCGTATTTTGCTCATTACATGCAGAATCAACCAAATTGCCAATCGATACGTCAGTTTTAGTGCTTGTCCATTCACATTACCGTGACCACAAGCGGCGCTTTTCGTTTATTCTGTTCATTTTTTTTAGAATCACTGACAGAACACAAGATACAAATACAGAATTAAAAATATTAAACGAAATCACGTGTTATTCTTGCCGACAGTGTTACTATAGAAGTAATGCATATATACAGTACTGTCTACGTTCCGATTATTACTACTTTGATGAAATCTGACCTTTGCCCCAGTATTTAGATTATAACAGGCATTTTTGGGGCTTTTTTGTTTCCAATTTCGAAAAAGATTTATAGAAGCCTGCATGACCCGTATGACATGTTCCATCTTTAAACAAAATTAATCGAAAGAAACAAATTCCACTTCCTCGTCACTTTCGGTACATTATTTGTGTGTATTCCAAGGCACCGACGTTTTCTGTATAAATGGAACAGATTATTCATTTTGTATTTCGAACACACACTGATTAAACAATCCCGCTCTGTGCGTAAATATTGACTTTCATATTAAATGATAAAAAATATGGGCTATCATCGGCAGCCTGCTTTTAGGGGTTAGTCTGTTCTCGTTATTAAATCGCCCCTGCACGAATGAGAATATGTATTAACACCCGTTGGGGGCGTGATGATTTGGGAAAGCCGTTATACCAAGAAAATTGAATGCTAATAACAAGAGTATGAAGATACAATGTATGCTGTGTGAGGTAGACGGCAAGTAATTGGGATAATTGGATAAGAGGAATTCTGTGGTGTGTATAGGCACAACATTGAGGCGTCATGCTGACGGGCATGTTGAACTCATATGCCGTTCAACCACGGCAATCTTGCGATATATGTAATGTGTTACTACTTTGTGCTATATTGCGGTACTAGTATTTGTATCTCAGACGAGATTTAACCACCTATTTGTATACGACACCCACAACGTTGTTATATTTATCGCACTCTTCTCATACTATGTCACTTGGTTGATCGAAAATTGAGTAAAAGAATGGCAGCACTCAGGGCAATGCGAACAGCTTATGCGCGCTGCGTGCAACATTCTTCTAATTTGTCAATCACAAAGAAGAGCCTCGTTTCTGTTTGTGGGGAGACTGCGAGGCGTCGACGAGCAACATAGCCTCTTTAGAACTCGTTAGGTATTATTGTGTTATGCACAACGCAATTTATTCATTTGTGGACTTTGACCGTTTGCAAAAGAACGAATAAGTCGCGAACAAAATAAAAGTGAATTGAATTATTCATCATGGTTGAGATGCAATGTCAACACAATATCATTTCCAAAATATACTGATTTTCTTTCTTAATTTCCAAAGCGTCCCGGATGTCACGTTGAAAGGATAATTTGCATACAAATTGCTTTTCTTTCCGGTGAATTCTTCTGCTGTTGAAAAGGAATAATGTCCTGGATCGCGTGGTCACGTTGTAGTAATTACCTTGTTAGAAAGGTTGTACCACAATAGAACTTATAGTCTAATGGGGAAATGGGCAATTGTACAAGAATTGTTCTTAAGTTTGTTGGGCTAGTTCTTAGTTAAATGTCTGTTTATTCAAAGACTATCTTCTCTATAGTCTTTGGTTTATTACATCGCTTGGCGTGATACGCCGTTTGAGCCACGTGTCACCGTTGCTTGGTGTATTATTTACCAATGGTAAGTCAAGATCAGGACAACTTCATGTTCTACATTGTAAACAAGCCTCTGTTCAACTTTTTACTAGTACATCGTACATCGTACATCGTTCTTGTTTGATAGAACTCAATTGACACCGTAATTTTCTTTTCTAAGAGCTATTATGGCGGTCGCCAGAAATGCTCCGGGATCCGAACCGTAAGGCCTCGTCTGACGCCGATGTTTACAGTTTTGGAATTATATTACAAGAAATTATTCAGAGGACTGGTCCGTATGAATCGTCGTCTTCCACTATGACGCCACAAGGTAAGACTGACAACTAAGTTAAGCATGCCATTATGTTCATTTCTTTGTTTTAGCTCTAAAGCGGGAGAGTCGTCACCTGCGCCCGCGCGGGAATCGAGCCCCAAGCGACGATAACATCACAAGCTAAAAACGCAAAGGCTCATGGGTAGACGCTTGTCTGTAAACAATGACACGCTTTGGCCATCTGACGCATGCGCAGGTGACGACTCCCCCGCTTTAAGTGTGAGCTCCTAGTTTAATACACTGTATTACTTTCACTGTGAGGTCCCGTATTATAAATCAAATCGAACATAAAATACAGGACAAACAAAGTATATAACGTTGTAAAGGCGTCATTCATCGCGATTTTTTGGGAGTATTTTCTCGCTAATAATGGTATTAACATTTGATGAGACGATCAATTTTGATGATATAAGGGTGTTCTAGACGCTATATCCTACTGCGAAAGATAAGCAATGTGGTATGACCGTGAGCTCAAAAAAAAAGGAAAGAAAAAAATCAAGTTCAAAGATAAATCATTCATTTTTTTTTTTGCGTCAGACACTCAGTCCGCGCCTATTAAGCCTTACGCGAGATTTCACAGTGGACGGGAAAAAATCACTTATCGAAACATCAGCATTGCATGGAAAAAAGAGCAGTTATATGATTTGAATGTTTTCAATACACAGAAATTGTGGAGAGAGTTAAGAACGTTGAGTCTCCACCGTTCCGTCCCGTCGTAGACAAAGATTCCTGTCCATTGGAATTACATCAGCTGATGGAGAAATGTTTAGCAGAACTTCCGTCAGACAGACCGGATGTCAGCGAAGTTAGGTCTTACGTTCGAAAACTAAACAGGTAATAATACGACCAGAAACTAGTTCATGCCAGTTATTTGTGAAGGTCAATAAACGAGCAAACCGTAATGAGCACCTAGTGAGGGCGTCTTTGCGTTTTTCATTTCTTGCACTCACCTCGAGTTTGAATCGTGTTTATTGTAGTGCGCCCTCACATGATTGAAGAAAATCTGTCGATCGACTGTGCAGCTGAATTATATTAAATCGCGCTCGTCCAGTAAAATTGTAGATCTGTAAAATAACGCATTATATATACAATTACATATAGGAATAGTGATAGCGAAAACATCCTGGATAATTTACTTCAACGCATGGAGCAGTACGCCAACAATCTCGAGAGTTTAGTGGAGGAAAGAACGGAAGCCTTTCTGGAGGAAAAGAGAAAATCCGAAGAACTTTTATATAGTATATTGCCAAAGTAAGAAACAACATTTTGTATGTAGACACAGTATGTCTAGTGATTATTCTTTGTTTTATGGCATTGAAGTTTATTTTTATTTTTAATATAATACCAAATCATTCCCGTGAATTTATATTGATGATCTTTCATTTTTTGAGATTATTGGGAATTTCTGGTGGCACGATTATGCGTGAATAAACAAAAAATGTGTACAAACGTTGAAATTGGGGGGTATTCAGAACACCTGAATGTTGGCAATCGTTCAAATCAAGGTGCCGACACTGTTTAACATTGTTCCGATGTCTCCGGATTCACAGAAATATTCGCATATTTGACACGCAGTATGACATGAGAGTGCAAAATTAAATTCGATCTGAATCATAATTCGATAGTTAATGTTAATGATGCAACTTTCCGATTAATCCGAATGTTGTATTAGAATAATTCTGTCGATATTCATTATTTAGTTTATTATGAATATTATGAAAATTCAGACAATCAGGTAGATCGCATAATAGTTCAATGTCCCGATACAACATTATGAGCGATCTCAAAGCCAACAAAATGACAAACAAAAACTACCCCGATCTCTCAACAGACACATCAATAGAAAGTGTATATGATTATTATTATGACACTCTTAATTTCATTGGATTGTTCAGCTCTCTGATCAAACATAGGACTTTTTGTGCTTGTGCTATTTAATTCAAAATAAAAATAAATTTGAAATGCAACGAGACATTACCACTGTGTGAGAGTGGGAACTGTTCTTCATTGCAGGACGATCAGTTTACAGAACATGTTATTTATTTTTTTGTTTGTTTTTAGTTCTGTTGCTAAGCAGCTCTGTCGAGGCGAATCGGTGGAACCTGAATGCTACGAGATGGTTACGATATATTTCAGTGACATCGTAGGATTCACGTCACTCTCCGCTGGAAGCAATCCCATGCAAGTAAGTCCAGTAACACTAAAGATCTGTGAAATAACGATCTGTCTTCACTATAGAATATAATATATGCTATAATGTATATAGGAAAATTTCGGTTGAAATTGAAGAATTAACAATTAAACGCACTGGGATTTTGAAATAACCACATATACATCGTGCATTACATTAGTTTAGAGTATGCTAATGAGTCCAATGTCCAATGGATCTGGACTATCTAGTCTTAGTGAAAGGCCGGAGAACGTCACCGTCCTTGTAAAAATTCGCACAAAGTAAGGTTGAAATATGATAAGGAATCACAACTTTGATTTATTTAGATATTCTGCAAATGTTGTTCCTGGTAATTATGTTTTGTATTGTCGAGTATTTGCATTTGTCTAATCTTCGCCCTCTGTCGACGGTAACATAATATTGCCTGCACGCAATAGAGGGCGCAGTTTACGTTATAATCTCGCGTTCATGTGGCTAGTTGTTAAACTGGCAGGAAAACCAGGCTACTGTTGAATAGTCGAATGCATTGTATTCGCTTCCATTTTGTTTCGTCACAAATCGATATGAAAGACTCCCTCCCAAATACGAGGCGATGTCACAAATCCCTAAGATCTAGCCAGATCGCAACAAATAGCTAACAATCACTGGATTAAATGGCGGTGACCCAATAATTGCAAAGGTTATTATCATGATATTTATAAAGAACCAACATGAAAACGCCCTCTGGTGTTGAATTCGCGTAATTATTCCCATTGGCCACTGGAGGGGTGTGACTACTAGAATAACTAAGACATGTATTTTTTTTTGTAGGTTGTGGACTTACTGAACGATCTGTACACCTGTTTCGATACGATAATAAATAATTTCGACGTTTACAAGGTAGGCTTTTCGGTAAATGCAATATTTCGTACTTAAAGCAAATGCTCGTGACATCATTTTTAGTGCTTCGTATGTGAAGCTGTAAATAAAGAAGGTAATCCAGTTTCCAAGATAACTTTGTATTGGTAATGTATGCATTTAGTTCATATTACTATGATTGTGCAGCTAAATACTGTTTTGATTTTCTGAGATTTAAGTTATAGAATTCAACTCCACTCATACCAAATGACATAATGACAACGCTGTAATGTCAGATCAGGTATTTTTTGTCGTATACTTTGATACGCACAGCTAATATATTTGTAGACTATGATAGCAGAACTGATATGTTGTATTCACGCAAATACGATAGCTTGTTGTCAATAGTTACAAACACCATTTATCTCCCATTTAACTCATCTTACGCGAACAAAGATGTGGTTTATATTTTCAATCTATATAATCTCAGACAATGGTTTGTGAAATGGTTTAAGTTTTAGTTAACTAGCAGGGCAATTTCTATAATTATTCTAGCTTTAATTCAATCAGTTTGTCTTATAACTTTTACCTATGCTAATCTGAGAGCAAGGTGAACTTTTTTCTGATTGTGGGAACTAGGTAATGACCCTGATCATAACTGAAACACCGATGCTTTCACACCACCATACCTTGACGATATGTTGCAACCAAGCAATAATTTATAGATAACCGGTAAATGATGCGTACACCCAAATCCGGACTGATATTTTTAAAAATAAAACAAGCAAATATGCGGACGATATACCCACATTCGATCATCTGAGTCTGAAAAAATTGTTTGTTCATTTTAACAATAACATTTAAATGTCTGTACCAAACATGTAAATCCATTGTGAAGCAAGTAAAATTGGAATACAGTCATGACTATGAATACTAATAACGGATGGTGTTCCGAAAGTGTATAGTCTGCATTTGTTTTCTAATGATATTGTAACAATTGTTAAACTTGTAGTAGTAATTGAAAAAAGGAAATAATAAATCATAAAGGCAATATAAATGTGTGATGCACTTTATAGTGTGTTGACAGTGACATTGTAAATAACACGTGGACCTTGTTAGTTTCCTCAATGCTTGCTCTATTCTTAATTATTACAAGCAACTCGTGTTTATAGGTAATATCATGTCAGTCTGTGTTCTCCTATATCCAAACTTTCACAATATACAACTTGAATATTTTTATAGATATGCGTCCAGTAACTGATATCGATGTGCAAAAAAAAACAAAAAAACATTTCTCCGAAGGGGCCTGAGGGCGAGCGTGATTCTAACGAGAATTCGCGTATTGTGACGCCTAAAAACCGTGCGTTCAATCATAACGCATGACACTGGGCGAAACACAACATGAAAAGGTGTTAATTAGAATATGCAAAAGTATAATGGTGGGGCTACGTCCGAATAAACAGAACTTCGCTATTAAGTCTCATGACAGACGAGACTTGCATATATCCCTATCTACGTCATATTCCAAGAAGACAACATATGATAATCTATCTTTTCTCAGGTGGAAACGATTGGGGACGCGTATATGGTTGTGTCCGGGCTACCAGTTCGCAACGGAAGCCGTCACGCAAGAGAAGTCGCGCGGATGTCTCTCGCGTTGCTACAAGCAGTCGACAACTTCAAGATTCGGCATAGACCGAATGAAAAACTGAAGCTAAGAATAGGAATACATTCAGGTAAATCAGAATCTAAACAGTTGACATGATGTATGTTTTTTTGAGAAAGATGTTTTATATTTCCTGAAGCGGACTCGGAGATGTACAGCCATCACAGGTGTAAAGAACAGCAGCCGCGCGGCACGCAATAACGTTTCCTTAAAGCGGTGGTATCGTCACCTGCGTACGCACGAGAATTGAGTCCCAAGCGACGATGACAACGCACGCTAAAAACACAAAGGCCTATGGGTGGACGCTGTTTGTAAACAACGACGCGTTATGGTCGTCTGCCGCATGCGCATGCGCAGGTGACGACTTCCCAGCTTGCATGGAACTCGTATCGAACATGACAGGAGTTAATGATGTAAATTGAATTAAAAACGATATACCAAGTACATTCAGATGCGATGGGAATTATATACGTTGATTTTACATATATCAATCCGTTTAAAAAAGTTACCTGTAAATGAATTAGGTATATATTGTTTGCCATTGGCATATCCTATTACGTGAAAGCAGGTCTGACTCACAGGAAACAAATATGAATGTTTTGGGTTTAAGTACATGTAAAAACTTGTATCCAAATTTAATTAACTGAAATTAATATCCCTTTCACACATTTTCAAGAAAGCTCACTTCGTACTGGAACTACATTCATGAGAAAATCATACGTTGTGTTGTCAAGCAAAACCATTTTGACCTTTGACGCCTGTTGGAGTCTTCAAAACTAATCCGCCTCTCCCCGAATCAATGAAAATTTATGCCAAATTGTTCCTCGTAATAAATCAAATTATACTTATAGACTGATAAACATCAAGTGCAGTTAAATTATAAAACAACTATAAATTTAGAGCTTCTTGTTGCAGCACAATACAAACCGAAATTAACGGGCCTCATATGAATACGCCAAGTCAAAAAACAAACAAACAAGAGAATGCGTGTATGAACACTGAGGGCAGTATAAATCTCCAATAGCATCTTTTTCAAAACACAATGCAGACTGAACAGACGTATCAGGTTCTCAGTATCTGCACTTCTCTTGTACTTTGCACCAATCACAACAAATTCTTTGACAGTTTCTTCTGTTATTAATTGTTGTTTGCTTGACCGTAAATGGTACGTCCCCGAATTACATAAACCTAATACAAATGTGTAAAGTCATGTAATCACGAAGTCCAATAAGATTATTTAACCTGCTAAAAGAGACTCACAAATTATCGACATTGTCTGTATGGATTTTTTTATCTGCTACTTGGTGCACATGTACCACATAAAGTAAATACAAAATAGCAAGTTTTTTAACAACAATGATTTTGATATAAATGCATAGGTAGAAAAAAACATATTTGCATATTTATGAAAAAACGAAAAGGACAAATTTTAAATTAAATGTACGTATATATAAATCCGTCACGCATGCGCATGAGAGTTTGTCAACAAATGCTAGTACACCTGAAGTCATAGTCAGTTTTGAAACGTAAGCACATCTGCCAATATTATACATGTTTGATATATTTTAGAGATAATCCCGAACCAGTCTTTTTACAAATGTGACTTTTCGTAATAAACGATGATCAAATTTGCCCATTTATCGATGTGATTTTGTTGTAATTTTGTTTCTGTCAGAATATATAAGAAATGGCAATAAGCATAATAATCATGGTGTTTCACAAATTGCTTGTTTCCGATCCGATGACGCAATCATTATACAGACACATCACTGCGAAACACTTATTTCTTGAATCGGATATGAACTCTGGATTTTTAATAAATAACGGCTTATTTTGTGGCATGGAAATTAACAAGGAATAGTTGTTCCAATGCTTTTAGTTTCATTTCCCGAGAAAGCAAAAAGTAATGTATTTTTATCACGACGAGGGAATTATATATCAAGCTTGTTGTTTTTTCGAAAAAAAATTTCCTGCAGCATTGTGTCATATTCAGCATGTGGTTGATAAATGCGACTTTGGGAGATAAGTGTCCTTTTTTTAACCTTTAAGTGGCATTTTAAATGTGCATGTGACTATATTCGGTCTGTCAATCAGTGTCAACCTCGTGTCGAAACTGAGCAGCCATATGCGCTTTAATACAGATCAAACAATTCCAGTCTTTGATCGTGTTGTTAAACGGCACTTGCACCCGTATTTGAAAGAAGTGAACGCATCGTTCCATAAGGATTTCAATGTAGCGGAGAAGTTGTTTCATCTAACCGATGGCGTTTGACCCGTTTTATTTTCAGTTTGCTAACGTCCCCCGCTGCTCAATAACAATCAGAGTTATTACAATATGCAAATTAAGTGCTTTTTATTTATTAAATATTATAACAGGCCACACAATCTAAAAATGAACAGCATTGACGAGAAAAGTGCCGATTTACGAAAGTTCACAACGTAAGTCGCGAGCATTAACCCACATGCGATTTATAAATAATGAAATAACTTGTTTTAATTGGGCGTCGTGTTTGAAAATGTGTATCTATTGGATGATTCGTAGCTTGTGGAAATTTTCAAAAACAAATATTTGTGTTGAATAAATCTTATCTGTATTAGTGATATCGCGTTGCATTTATTAAATTAAGCGTGTGTTCGTAAAATTATTGTTTTCTCGTCATAGTGTCACATTTCTTATCTTCTAATCTGCCTGATTTTGTTATCCCGTAAACTTATATTTGTGTTCGCGATTTTTTTTTTCATTTTTGGGCGCATATTATATGTTTGTGAAATAACATTTTAAAGCAAAGAGTCGAATTAATAGATAATTGTAAACTTATTATTGATTTGGAACTTTCATGAGGTTGAGTTGACGAATCTGTTTTAACAAGACGTTTACGAATTGGGTTATTTCGTTCACAAAACTAAACTATACAGGACACTTATTATTCCCTTTCACGAAGCATGATATCCAACTCCTTTAAAATTTCTTTACAATAATACTAAAATTCCTGCAATGAAACATCCATATACATCCTAAAGTTGTCATGCGCTGTGGGGCGCACATCGAATACGTCGCGCGCGCCGCGCCGCGATGGCCGCGACGACTTGAGCACCACAGTCGTCGCGCCGCGTCGTATTCAATATTGGTCTCTTGGTGTGACATGTTAGCTTTGAATATATTCATTCAGGGTGCCCTTCCTATTGCACACAAGCATGACCTGGTGAATAGCTATGTAAACACGTCGTCGGCACAGATTTTTGTGTCATCATTGATTGGCTGTCTCCATGACATCAGTACATTACCAAGGGAACTCGCATGCGCAGACAGACCCGTACATAAAGCCCGCCGATAGCCCTCTAGACCAGTTCACTAATTATTCGTAGATTTTTCAAAGTCTTTCGACAAAAGACGCCATCTACTCTAGTGACGTATTCAACGCGTGTAAATTAAATTATCATGATTCACTTGAATTTTTTAACGTGTGTTGCGTTTCGAATATACCGTTTTCTTTGTCGTACCAATAGACCATTTTCCGTTCACTGCGAGAATCACGCGTTATGCGTGAAATAGAACGTAAAAACAGGACAAACAAAGATCATAGCGTCGTAGTGGCGTCAAACATCGATTTTTTGCAGCAGACGTTCGACGCGCGTCTTTCATGCATCTCGCGAGATCTCGCAGTTGTACGGAAAATCACCAATTGTGCCATCGCTGCTAGTCTCGGCAATACGCATATCTAGATCAATAATTTTAATTCAGTCGCAATTGTGAGATTTTTTCCCGGAAAGCATAAATAGAGTATTGATTGAAATTAAGTCGAACAAGCTGTGTACGCATAAACTAACCACTGCCTTTCTCGAGTTATTACGTTAAATTGCGTGCCACGATATTTAATTACAAACATGTCTCATACCACTACATTGCCGTCGTATTTGAATATTGTTTGTGTTATTTTGTAAACACTTGTAATGCAATACTCATATATAAATAAGTTGTGTACATGTGCAGAAACCGTCAGGGTAAATAAACCACGCACAATAAACCAATATCGTAAACCAATAATATATGTGTTTCTTTCACATGGATATTATTCTTTTCAGTCTTCAGAAATTTTGTGTACTACTCTTCAAGTTACGTATGGATATAGCGCTACTACTGACATATCTTATTACAAGCTCCCATCTTCTCTGGGCTGCCTGTGATTGAATCAGAAAAAAATATTGTCTTTGTTTTGCGTGACAGTGTTGTACAACAATACTGTAAAGGCGTATCAGAGTAGTTCATTCGAAAGTAAAGCCCACGAAGCAACCATATCTAAAACAAAAGAAAATGATTTCACGTGTTATTATCCGAACAACAAACTGCCTGGTACACTGAGGCGTGATTAATTTTCGAATTTGACGTCACTCATTTTAATAGCGTTTTCATTTGTTCTTTTCATCAGGTCCCTGCGTGTCTGGTGTAGTTGGTCTCAAAATGCCTCGTTACTGTCTGTTTGGCGACACAGTGAACACAGCATCTAGACTGGAATCTAATGGAGAGCGTAAGTTATTCATTTCATTATGGCCGCCGAAATCTCACTGAGAGCGAGAGAGCCGCGAGTCTTATATTTTTCCCCACAAATAACGGTTCATTCTCCCCTGTCATTGCGTCGGCTATTCCCCTGACCTAAGGCCATTTCACAACAACTACACATTTGCATAACAACGACATTCCATGCCCTCCAAATATGTCTGAATGTTATTTTCTGTTTTCCCAAACTATCAAAAATTAGGAAATACGTCATTTACTTCATTTTGTATCTGTGGTGAATGTCCAAAGCTAATAGGTTTTACAGTAGAACCAGTCAATGTAATAGGAACATCTTTTTTGTTGTGTGAACCCCCAACAAATCGACCAAAAGTTATTTTATCTGCAAATTAATTCCTTTTTCGGAATTATGAAAACAGATTAAAACGACATACGTGATATTATTTTTACACACTAACAGACGTTGGTGGTATTAATGAACATTGTAACTACCACAAACCGGAATTGTATACCAATCAATTAACCAATCCATCCAATCATACTGCCATCGAGAAATACACATGTGTGCTTTTGACCTCTGATATTCAAATCCGCGATCTCAAAGTATACCTGTTGCTTCGATACAACGCCCTCTATATTACTCAGCGTGTTGACGTTACATTTCCACATTGTATGATCTTCAGTAAACCTCTCACTTATCTCTGTAAACAACTTAAGCGCGTTGCCTTGTGAGTCACGGTGGTTCATGGCAAAGCTTATTCATCAAAATCCTGAAATCTAATTCAGGATTACTTCCTAAAATAAATTAATCTTGCAAATACGGCCTTGAATCATGACAACAATGAACATTAAGTTTGATTTAAAAAAAACAAAAACATCTTGACTTTGCTTTTCCATGAAGAGGAGATGTTTTGCAATTTACAACCTTAAGCTCGTTCTAGCGCTGTTTTTTTTATAACTGAACATATTTAGCTTATAGATTTATGTCATTTTGTTTCATTTGATTGTAACTATGTTTAGCCAATGCTTACCGTCATGTAGTTGTGAAAATAATCGGTATTCTAAATCAGTGCAGTTCTGTATTGTCAGTATATGATTTTGCAATTCATCTATTAGACCTTTTCCAGAACACATATACAACCTAAATGACCTATATATTTCTGTGTTTACAGCTCTACGGATCCACGTCAGCACGTCGACGAAAATGATCCTCGATACTTTCCACACTTTCATCTTACAACTGAGAGGCGAAATAGAAATGAAGGTAATTTAAATATATTACGATCGAACTAGGTTATAAGCTTTCCTGACGTCAGTGAATGCAAATTTCCCGACGAGGGCATACTATTGCGTTTACGATTGCGTCAGTATGTAATTTATCTTGCGTAAATTTATGGGTAGTAATTAGAATAATGCTGGTCGTGCTTGGCCAAACATACAAACTATATTACAAATTATAATGTGATATGTTAATAGCAACATCAAATAACATAATATGCGGTCGTAGTGTTGTTTCTATTTTCAAAGAGACAGTTGACGTAAAACTCTTGGGTATTGGTGGTGAAATTGGACGCTATGTGGGTCTCGGGAAGGACTTACTGTGCAAACACAGGTTCATCAAAGCTTCGGAAATTTGCGGCTACTGTTTTAACAAATTGGTCCTTGATGTACAATGTCAAGTATATGAACTGGAATATAACGTACCACATTTTTAGGAAAGACTTTGTTGGATTATTTTACTTTTGATTATGAAATTAATATGCCTGACTCTGGGAAAATGACACACGATCTTGCCAAAACAAACCCCTAATAATGCGAAAATGTGTCGGGAACAATGTTTTAATACATAACCCACGTCCGTTCCCACTAAAATATATAAAAAATATTTAATAGTTAGCTATATCTACTATTGCATCGGTGTTATACAACGCGTTTTCGCGCGAGAACTCTTTATATGACTTCGAACTCATATAAATGTATTACATCTGAGTATCAACTTTGAACTTTGTTATTTATTAAACGTCGACATGGACAGAAGCTAAACCGAAAATGACGAATTACTTGAGCAAATTGTACACAACGAATCTGTGTCTATTAATCTTAAAATTCAACAGTGTGCAGCACACTTCTATGTTTTTCGGGATGTATTTGATTCGCATCTTGGCACAATAATCGGTGACATCACAATTGTTTGGTGTTATCAGATGTGACGAAGTAATTACTTAATCGTCAGAGAAAAGTATTCAAGTCAAATTTGAAAGGTTTCTAGCCATTACTGACTTTTTGACTGAATTGCATTGAATCATGTCGATGAATTGAACCCCGTATCAAACATGCAGCAATTAACGACATTTCTCTCCCACCTAATTTAAGAAAATCATAACACATCAAATTATTGTCATTGACAAAAATAATAAAAAAAGCGTTATAAAGCACTTTGTAGATCACAGAGAATTTACTCATATGCCGAGTCCCAATGTTGGAAATAGTACCATAAATAAAGGAAATACATCACCATAGAAACTATTGAGAATTCTAAAATAGTTCAGTCGTCGAAAACATTGCGGCAAATATGAATGGTTTCCATCCGAACACCATGAATGTAATTCAATAAGTGTTGACAATTTCATTTCGTGATATTGTTAATTTTATTAATATTTGAGAACACAATTAAGTGTGAGTTGCCTGTGCCGAAAAAATAAGATTAACCTCATATATTCATCACAATAGCGAATGCACAATATAAGTAATAAGGTTTGTTATAGAACAACACAACCGCGTATCAAAATAACAGAGTATATCCCTGACCCAATGCATAAACCTCAAGAGACAAACAAAACTTTGATGAAGAAAAAAAACAATATATTTGTAATTGTGGGTCATTATATTTTGATTACAGTTCCACGATACTGATATATCAAACACAAACTAATTTTGGTTATAATTACACATTAGTTCAATGAAATATTTGCACGCTTGCCTGCACCGGGATATGTCCAAAACTATCATATTTCAAAGAGCTGAGCACGAGGATCGTAACGATCTCGATATTGTACGCGGAATTGTTTTAGCATAGACATATAATCTACGAACGCACAGGACTCTTGTAATCTACCGGCTCGAAAGAGTTATTTCAAGCCTGTGCTGTGTATACATAACTGTTTTCGATATTTTTCTTCTTAAATAAAACATCAGGATATCAAATAAAACCCTTGTGATAGGTATACACATTTTATAACAGTACAGTGAAATACTCTAAAGCGCACGCGTAAAGGATTTACTTATACGCGCATATACCTACCAAAAAATATTGAAAACCACTTATCTTTTAAAATAACAATGGTTCATGTATGTACCTGTCATCCGCAAACAACTACGTTTAAGGGAACTAGATCCAATCGTGTAACTTATGGGTGTATTTATACTTTTCTTCTCATAGTTTCGGTTCGTCCAATTTTTTGTCATTTATTGTTTTTTCACGTAGGGTAAAGGAAAACAGACTACATATTGGTTGCTTGGAGAGAGGCCTCCGACAAGGGAAGATTCCAGGAGTACTATCTGTTCAATCCCACGGTAGCCCGATATCAACATCGCACCAACATTTGATGACTGCAAGCATAAGCGAGGAAGTGGGGTTTGCTTGTTGAGAAGCCACACATTTTTATATGCTTTTTAAGCATCGCATGATTTGCTAAAATCCATAAAGGTTTCAATAATAATGTGTGTCCCTTCTCGCCATCCAACGATATTTACTTGATATTATATTTTTATTTGAAAAAAAAAACCAAAAACATAAGATTTTAATGTTTGTTACATGTTCAATTCTGCTTGGCATTTCCCGTAGTTTATTTATTTCTTCATATTAAATCAAAACGAGTTTCAGTGATGATGGTTAGTAGACATTCCAAGTGAATGAACGCATAGTAAGTGGCCTCAACCATTTCACGACGAGAGTCGAAGAGAGGCAATATTTGAGTGTATTTTTTCAGTTGCCATGGTAAATTACTAGTAATATTGTACATTCAGTGTTCAGTAGTGAGCACATCACTTAAAGTCGCTTTTGAAAAAAGATAATTGCTCTTGCGATCCATCAATTTATACACAGTACAGATACAACTGGAAGAGTGTCACAATTGCTCATATATTTGTCTTGCAATAACGTTTGTTGAAATACATTTGCAGTGTTTTTTGTAAGCAGCAGTAAGCGACCGTCTAGTATTTGATATTTTTTCTTGAAAATGTTTTTCCTCTGTAAATATATTAGAAAGTAGCATTTTGAAGTACATATCACTCGATGTATGCATTCAACTCCCGTATTGTGACCTGATTGGCGCATTGATTGCTGTTGAGTCCTTTCGATTGCACGTGTTGAACATTCCCTTTATTGTTCGCATCATGCAATTCAGGTTCTCTCGGTCTGCGACTGGTGCTCAATAGAACAATTAGCGCTAGCAATTGGCATTCAATTCGATAGTTGGCGAGTAGAAGCGGTGATAGTATTGCAATTAAAGCATCAATACATAGTTTGTAATCCCCAAGAAACGGGGTGGTTTTATCAATTGTTGAATTGCTAGGTTGTATATCGAGTTTACTGCGAATCAATTTACTTGTTTTGATCTGCCCTGTAATAACCACATGGCCGCGCATCGCATATTTGAATCGAAAAAATAAATATGTCTGTCGGAAATAAAATGTAGTCAATTATGTTTCAACCAAAGATAATATATTTCTTTAATTTGATACTTTTTTTTCAAATGTACATGATCATTAAAAACATCTGGGTTGATGAATACAGATTTATTAACCAAACGTTTGAACATTGACGTCACTATTATCTCCATCCGTGTGCGCGATTGTATATTAAGTAATGACACATGCGACGTGTAAACCCGAGTGCGTTAGAGCATTAACTGTCAGTGTAACATACTTTTTTTCAAAGCGTTTATAATATTTAGTATTTTACCATTTAGTGCGGCTTACAGTTGTGTTACACTTATTGTATTTACAGTAAATGTTGTGAGTATCTTATAACAGTAAACGTGTTTTGAAAAATATTATATAAAATACTGTTCTTGCTTTACAGACGTTGGTGTACATATGGGTATATATATGTATATATACCCTCTGTAAACTAATAGATCTTTGATGAAGACTACTTCCCATATGGCAGATTCTCATGAAACTGTTCGTTTTGTTTCGTCCCGTTTTATCGTTTTGTTTCTGTAAAGTTAAAAAAATGACGTATTTGTAATTATATTTTTCAGGTATTGTACGAAACTATAATTAATTGTTCATTTTATGGCGCAACTGTCAGCTGTAGACCGTGCAAAAATCGCTGTTTTTATTCAGTCTGAGATTAGCTATAAGAATTGTAATATTAGCGAGAATAAAACCAGTTATTAAAAACCAACTGTCTCTTCTGAATGTAAATCGGGTTAATCCACGTGTTTAATATGTGAAGACTACAGTTTTATTAGTTAAGCTGTCAACATGTTACCGTTAATTTGATGTTATGAGTGTAAATCAATATTATACATGCTACACTGAAACTCGTCCTACATAGGGACCATAAAATAATCAGCGGCATGTACGCAAGGAGGTTGGTTGGGAACTGGGACGTTTCCTGGATAAAAACCCTCCAACGTTGCTACAAAAACGCGGAAGGGTTGCCTGGGCAACATTCTAGCTTGGAAGCATCCGATATAGCTATACAAATACTTTTTAAGCGGGTTGGCTTTGGAGCGTACCAACTGTGAAGCAGCTGGCGTGTCTACAAGAGCACAGGGGATTCGGTTTGGAACCATAGACACTTACTACTTAAAGAGTCACCAATTTAGTTACAGGCACACAGTGAAAATATATTCAGTTCTATTGAAAAAGAACAAATATATTATTAGTTTTGATAAAACAGAAAAAAGAGTGTGAGTTGAATATAGTTACATCTCCAGCAAGTACAGCAGAGTAAGATTAATTGTAATCAAATAAAAAACATATCTGAGCATGGCGACATCACGTAGAACAACAGATAAACATGTACATACAATATATGCATTTGTATACAACGGAGGACAAAATAGCGCGTGAATTGCATGTACGATTTGCGTCAGAAGGTCCGACTAATAAATACGCATATATATATATATATATATATATATATATATATATATATATATATATATATATATGCATGTTGCAGCGGGAGAATTTAGCCCTCTGCAAAAACATTCCTAGGCAAGAAGTCAGGCACTGTTGAAGTAGGTTAATCAAACATTGCATCGCCGTTCTCACAGACACCTCGTCATGCAGTAACTACAGGATGCGTGCATGGAGGTGTATACCTGTATTTAAGAATCGATCCATGAAATTGCAGGGTAATAATGGCACGTTCTTTATTTATAAGTTACATCGACTGTGAAGAGTCATTCTGGATTTTAATCAAAATGTTCTGTATATTTTACAAAGGTATTATAAAGGTGAACTAATGTATATTGTCTATTTAAGTGTGTTCTCACTCCATCTATCCTGAGTTGCAATCGGTCATAAGATTTAATCATTCTGTCTAGAAGTCCGAATAATCCTTGTCAGGGAAACGCCATTGCAAACAAATTCAAACACAGGCTGTCACGTTTCCTTTTCCACCACCACTAACATGATCCAAATATACTAAGTGCATATCCTACACCACTACGCTACGCTACGCTGCACTACACTACACTACACTACACTACACTACACTACACTACACTACACTACACTACACTACACTACACTACACTACACTACACTACACTACACTACACTACACTACACTACAGCACCGCACCGCACCTCATACCACGCCACACTATTTTGTACGTGGACTGGTATGTTCAGGTAATCAAATGGAAATAGATTTTCTGGACGCAAATATTGAAGATGTTACGTTCCTGGCTAAAATGCGTGGGTGTAAAATGGATCTGAGATAAGAAATATGACCTTTTAGTATGAACTATCAATTAAAGTATGTTCCAATTATATAACGTCAGATGAATGTATTATGCAAATGTACCAGAGATTCAACATTAGATGTTACAAAGAAATCACATGTATAAAATTATACAAGAATGGTATTTGTAGAAAATGTAACAAGAACGCTACATGTATAGAATGCTACACGTATGGCGCACTATTGATCGAAGATCGAACAAACTGTCAAGACTGAAAATAGTATAATAAGGTAGATATAAAGATAGAAACAGATTAGTTCTTGATTTTATCGGACGCCACATGCATAGGTTGTTTATATTTGTATGATAATGTTGGAATATACATTGTTTTCACCAGTAGGATAAATCCAAAGCAGTGCGTCACCCCCAGAGTAACTTGGCGGTATCTATCTAAAAGAAATCTACATCATGGTTTCATGGGTTGACATACATGCACTAATTATATCACTGCAAATTAGCTCTGAGTTGTGTTTCATTAAGAGTTGAGATTACGCTGATTGAGGAGGCTTTTAGTTCATTATCACCGCATGACCGCGAGGCCGCTAAAAGCAACTTGTCCCAGTAACGACTTTTAACTGAACATTAATATTTATATAATTTTCACAGGATATTTTTTTGCAAGATACATGTTTACAGCATATATATACACCGTTATACTGGTTAAAATCACAAGAAACTGCATTACTTGTAGCTTTTAGTAGGCTAGTTTATAAATAAATCTGTTCCGTTAGAACATAAATTGTCACTTTATGTCGATGATGATAAATAATATATTAATTATGCGACTTTGTTTAGGGCATGTTTCACTACCGGGTTATAATCATTATACCACTGTTTATCTTGTCACGTGTTTCTTTTCTCTGTTCGATTGTTTTTTTGCCTATCAGTAATACCCATACCTGGTTATTGTATATTTTGAAAAATAAAAAATACTGACATATGCAGTTCATTGAATGGTCGAGAAAAAAAGCTACACCAAAAATCCTAAATTTCAATTGAAGGTTAAAATGGTTGTATTCTTCCATTTGTTATGTTTATAACATGTATGTAGAGTTAACTTAACTACTGTGGAATACTTTATTTTCGCTGGAATTAATTTTCGCTGAAAAGGCTTTTTGGGCGTTTTGCTTGGAATTTATTTTCACTGATTTTTCATGAGTTTAATGTGAAATATAGGAAAAAAAGTATATTCACTGGATTTTATTTTCACGGAATCGTCCCTTCAGCGAAAATAGCGAAAATAAATTCCAAGCAAAAATAAAGTATTCTGCAGTATTTGGTGGCTAAGTTATTATAGTTGACACTATATCAAACATGTTCATTTCGCTTGGGTGAGTTTTAGTACCAAATGTTTGGAAAACGAATGCAAGATTAATGCGTTTACGTGTAATTATCCTCAAAGCCGGATCACGTAAACACACAAATAAGCGCCAGGTAGGCACGAATTATTGTTACAACGCAGAGAAATATGTACTTGAATTTCCAAAACTTGTCATTCAGTATTCAGAAAATGTGATAATGTGGCCTTTTCAACTTCTGTGACATTATTAAATGTGCCCCAAGTTGCAATTCCTTATGCGAGAATATGAAT